GGATCCAGCGTTGAGCCTCTGGTGGGTTTTCCCTCCTGCTACATTAAGCAACTGGTGGCATCCTCATGTAGCTGCTCTCTGTGCAGTGAGATAGATCAGGGGCTGTCTGTTCACCGCCACCCAGATGGATGGTTAATTGTAAGGGGAGCTCGGCTCACAGCTAACAATTAGACCTGAATGAAGATTGATGTGAGCGGGGGGCGGGTAGGAAGGTAGTAGGACTCGTGTGATGAGGAGGCCAAAAAAAAAAAAAAAAAAGAAAAAGAGTGATGGGAGAGAGATGAAGAGGAGGCTGGAAAATGCTTGGGGACTAATGCTGCACATCCTCCCCTCAATAACTCCTCCTCCCTTCCGTCCCATCTGTTCTCCTTTCGTCATTTCAATAAAGTGAAAGGCAATCTAAAAATTGCTTTCTGATTTAGCTCTCAGTTGAACCTAGCCTTATTCTAAGAAATGACCTCGGGAGGAATGAATTTTCTGTGAAACATGACCACTTGTTGGTGAGAAGTGTGGAGAAAATGATGTTTTTGCCATGGCAAATGACTAGTGGCACTTGCAAATGGTTAGTTTAATGACAGGGAAGGTCGTATGTCATTTAGGTTATTGAGCATTAAAAACACTACGTGTTCTGCTGAAAGCAGTATTGGGGTGTTGAAGACTGTGGCATGCCTGAGTGATTCATGAGTCTGGAGGGGCATTAAGAATCACAGTTGTCATTAGCAGTGAAAAAGTAGACAATGCAACGATGAGGCCGCCGTCTCATTCAGAGGTTAGCTGCTAAAACACTGGAGATATATATATATATATATATATATATATATATATATATATATATATATATATATATATATATATATATATATATATATATATTTAAGTTATGTAGCATCTAATAAGCAGAACTCGTGTCAAAAAAAGGGTTTGCACAATCTTATTCAGTCGCTTTTCACTTATTATGAACAGGATGAGATATTAAAAAGCAGATTCATTGTCCTGTTGAGTTTTCCTAGAGGATGAACTGATTTCTCTGTGGGCACCTGGAGTAGACAGATTTGTTTCTTCTCTGTAAATCATTAAAATATCTATAGCAGTTTTGAACGTGATTATGGCGTGAGATGGTAAGCCAATAACGTCTTTCAAATATCCCCAACAAGATGTGGAACAAAGCTAAGAGAAGTAGAAAATTTTAGTAGAGATGCAATTAAAGTTAAGTTACTTATCATTACTTTTTTAAAACAGTAGAGTGGAAAACCACTGATTTAAACAGTAAAGCTTTAGACATTTAGCAGTTGGAAATATCAATTCTCAAAGCCTGTTTTTACTAGAGGGCAACAATATGTTTGGAGCACACCAAACAGGTCTCAGGACTGTGAGGATGGTGGCAACACCTAATCACGCTGGATAATTAAAGTCGGAAATGGCACCGATTAAATCTAAGCGATCTAAAATATCACATTTGCAAATCTCCCATCATCCATGGCACTTAGATCTTCAATTGCCATCGCAATAAGTCGTTTTGAAGATCAAAGCATCCAGGTGCAACATTATCATGAAAGCGGAGAGAAGGTGTTTCAGTCACGGTGTTTTGAAAGGGAGGAAAGCAATCCACTGGATGTCCTGGTGCTTGAAGCAAATCACTGACCTCACCGCGGGGCAAACCAACGAGACATCAGAGTGCCTGAAGAGAGTCGTTTAGTGCTGGCTAATGAGATCTGCAGCACCATGCTACAGTGCCTCATTGGCGGCGGGTGAAGGTGTGGGTGTTTGGTGGCGTGGCAGTGTTTTAGGACACTGCGCAACACTGCGGCTCAGCGAACACGCGCGGGAAGGTGATACGGAGGTCAAGAAGACTGAACCTGACGGAAAGTGAGGTGGGTCCAAACACGGAGCTGCCGCTGCTGCACAGATGCAGCCCTCCATCAGATGCAGATGGGGGATTTTCACTCAACAGATGCATATGCACACATAAACAGGCCTACAGACATAAACTTTCCTTCCAGCCAGCACCTCATCTGGGTGATAGTTATTTCAGGAAAGAACACAACATCAGGACACGCATCGCCTCCAGCTCTATCCCATGTCTCTGCTCCCTCTGCCTCCTCTGCTCACTCCTTCCCTCTGGCCTTTCTTGTCCCACTCCTTCCCCCCTCCTTTACCTCCGTCTAGTTCTTCATATCACATTTCGACCCATTTTCCGTCTAGATAATTCCCTCAGCTTCCCAATTCTCCTCTTCCTCCTTCTTGAGCAGTTGGCTGTGGAACAAAGGAGCCTTGTTCGGCAGACAAGGTTACACTTAGTTAAGACTCGGGCAGCGGTCAGGTCACAGTTGCAGATTTAAACAGCAACCAGAGAACATGTCCAGAGATGGATGGCATTAATCACAGGAAAGGTGAGACTGAAATGCAAGTGCGGATCTGGGAGAATTGCAGCGGCGGACAGACGAGCATGGATGAAGGAAGGAGATGAGCGAGGGGGGAAAAAAAAGGCCTTGCTTTGAAGAGCCGTGAATGGCAGTGATGAGAGAGAGGGATGGACTCTGAAAATATGTGTCTGCATGTGCTCGTCTGCCAGCTCTGAGCAAACACACGATCTATCTACGGCGAACAAAAACTGTCAGGCTTGCCCTTAAACTATGATTACCAGCTCAGTTTTGTATGAGAGCCAGCTGATGCTACTACACTCGGTTTGGCTTTTGGATGCAGCAAATAAAAGTGACTTTTTAAAAAAAGATTTAAAGGCAGCGACATATACCAGACGGGGGACTGAGTCATTAAATCCCAAACTCTTTCAAAAGAAAGTTGATCAATCTTGTGAAAAATGTGTCTGTAATTACAGTGAAATTCAAGTGTTTACATAAGGTAGCTGCATAGCATTGGGTAGATCTTCATTTAAACTGATGTTATCGTCCACAGCCGCGGTGCAGCTTTGGCTAATTCCTCTTGACAAAATCAGTACAACTGAGTCACAGTGTCCACACATTTTCTACGGGACTAATCAAGGCTTTCTGATCGACTTTATTGTCCTCAAGCCACTTTTCTAGTTAATTTGGTGATAATATTAGAGTCATTCTCCATTTACAATGTTTTCAAGCTTGAAAGCTTCTAATTTTTTTCCTTTAAATTGATTCCATGTGGTCTCATTACTCTATTTTATTTTATTTATTTTTTTTAGCAGTAAAATATTTAGCAAACATAATGGAGCTAAAATCAGAAAGGTCTGGTTAGATCTAATGTCAAACAGAGACAGGAAAAGTTTATTTTTGTACAGTGTATAAAATCAACTGTATTATATTGCTGAACAAAATGTGGAAATAGTGCAAAAAGGGGAAATTACTGAATTGAAAGAATTAAGTTTTGGTAAAGAGTTTAGAGTTTAAAGAGCACAGGTAATTAAGGGCTAAGAATGTATATAATAATAAAAGTTTAAATTGACAGGCAGCAAAATTAGCAAAACACTGGACGTTTCTGTATGTAGGGCAAAAGCAGCTTAATTTTATAGAATTATTCAGCTGAAAGTTAATAAGTCAATAATACAGATATTGTTTATGTCTGTATTATTTATACTGATGGCCCAAATACACACAAAATGAAATTCTGCCCGTGTGCTTGATTCATATGTTTACTGAGTGTTTGTGCAACCCGATGAATTTCAGATTCTGATTCATATACGATGTGATTTGGAGATCATTTGTCTGGCTTTGGAACGTGTAGCAAAAGACTTCAATAATGTTAATAAATCCCTTTGTAACAAATGGGTTATGGATTACCGCTCGGTGGAAAATCCCTTTGGCACATGTTTATCTTTCCTACTTGATGAAAATGGAATTTTAAATGTAGATAATCCTTTAATAAATAAGTGCGACATCATTTCCCTTCTCCCACAGATTTTGTGAGAAGCTGTGTGGTCCAACGTGAGGCTTTCGAATTTCATGACAATCTAATGTTCACGAGACAGCCCTGAGAAGTGTGTGGACAGAAGCAGTGAGAGAAAGTACAAGACGCTGAACTGAGGTTCCCTTGTATGGAGCGATGAAAGAAAGTAAAAGATGGGAAGTGAAGCTGCAGCTTCTTCGTGCTGAAACATAGCAGCGGAGGTATTTTGAGGATCTAATGAGTGCCTTGGGGCAGACCAAGAGATAACTTGAGGGATTACGTCTCTTATTTGGCCTGGAAACGAATAAACTGTCTTGAAGAAGCAGAAAAACATTCATCTGTCTGGAGATGCAAAAGAAAACTTTCTTTTTATCTTTTTATATTGAAATAATTTTGTCTAGAGCAACTTGATAGTCATTATTTGACATAAAACCAAATGGTGACTCGCTGTGAATATCATATACAATTTTGCGTCAATTTTATTTACCGCTTTTGCCTCTCTTGATTTGCATGAAGGAAAAAAAAAAATGTTTGTAGCTTAGGCTCTTTGCAGCTTTAATAATAAATGGCAAATTTTAGTTTACTTCTGGTTGTTCAAGACACATGGCTAAGTGATGCTTCAAGCAGAACAGAAGAATGACATACTAGTGCCCCAAAGCTGGGGTTCTGCTGGAGAAAAATCATGATTCTAGCACCTTACTTAACTACACTGGACACACAACACAAAAAATAAAACAAAGCTAATTTAACTAATCCACAGGCACCTCTGTGAATTGGTCTAAAGGGCCATATCGTGAGTAACATAATCAGCTTTATTGATTTTTTGTGGTTTTTAGTTGGCAGCAAAAGAATTCAAGAAAATACATTACCTAACAATATAACATACCTGATGAGGCAGAAAAAAAGAGTGAAAAATACACTTAAGATTTTTACAAATTCATCATTATGATCCTCGTGTCAACTGTCCTGAGATAAAAGAGGGCAGTTACTGATCTCAAGGTGCAATAAGGGGTTGGTTAAGGTAAGGTATGTTTGATGTATAAAGCTGTCAGAGCCCCCTAGTGGCCTGGAAGACTGTAGGTCCAAACCTCTGAGGCCCGTCTGAAGAGAAATAAAACTGTGTTCACCTGAACCTTCTGCGCCCGCCGCTTGTCTGCTCTCTGATTCTGGTGATAGATGCGGCTAAAGTTGGACACGATGACAGGAACAGGAAGGGCAATTACCAGCACCCCACTCAGAGAGCAGATTGAGCCGAAGATCTTTCCTGCAATCGTCTTTGGGACCATGTCACCATATCTGTGAGACACAGGGGAGAGGAAAAAAAATAAAATAAATTTAGCAAAAATCTTGCAATGGAGACATGCATAGATGACCCTGCTAAATAAATTGTTGAAATATTTCTGCAAGGTCACTCTCCTTAGATCTGACTTTCATCTTTGTAGCAGGCTTGTACCGCATGCGTCAATCCTCACAAGAGTAAAAGCCGACCTGTTGACTGGAAAAAAAAAAAAAAAGGTGTCTGCAACCAAACCTTTTCCATCACCGAATGACACAGTTATGTCAACTGACTCACTCACTGAGATCTGATACTATTAACCTTTCCAGAGGAGAAGGACGAGGACACTGTGAATGCCAGGCACATTTCCCAAAAGACATTTATTCCAATTATTTCTAAAATATTTGCAAGTCAAAAGCAATTTTTTTCCCCCCACGCTCAAAAAGAGACAACTCAATTACAGTACATATCTTACAATTTTCCCCCAAAGGGATATGCTCAGGGTGCTGGCACGACAGTGGAAAAGACAAAAGAGGAGAAATCCAAAACCTAAGATAGCACCAGTTAAGTTGAAAAATAAAACAAAAACTTATTTCTAAACAGTGCTCATTTTTATTCATGACTAAAACCTTGTTTTTTGTTTGTTTTTCTCAGAGGCAGAATGTCAACTGAAAGAACTGGACTAAACTTGAGTTAGTTAAGCAAACAAATGAGCAGTAAATATGTAAAGACTTGATTGTCAAAAAGACGAATGTTTCCTTTTACAGTGAACTGTAACATGTAGTTATTCAGTTGGAAAAAAAAAACAAAAAACTAGCACTACAAATGACTTCATTTTATATCGCTTTTAGAATGACTTCGCTATTAAAAAGCCTGCGGCAAACACATGTTAAACACATGTTGACACATTCAAAAGCCAGTTTTTCTTCACTTGAACCACTGAGACAATGAGTCACTGAAACACTTTGGCTTTCGAGACTAGCAGAAAGTAAAAAGTTGCGGAGGCAAAGCGAGGAAGACAGAAGCAGCTTGTTGCACATGAATCTGGCTCCATGGTGTCTTTTCACATTAGCTGTGGAGGAAGTGAACGCAGAGTGTCAGAAACAGGGAAAACCGAGTGATACCGTTTTCCACTGAGCCACAGAGTACATGACAGACAAGTCCTGCAACACAGAGGTTACAGTAAGCTGATGTAGACGTCACGTTGTCAAAACTGAACTCAGTGTGCCACACAGAGATTAAGGGTTTGTCAAGGAAATTATACACAGTACAGAGTTTTGCACACGTGTATAAGAAGGAAAACAGTATTTATGTATTTTATTAAAGGGATGTTTATCAATAATTCATAGAGATCGAATTGTTTTTACTTTACATTATCTAAGTATAGATACACATATATACAAAGCTTGGGGGGCAGACAGGTAACAATTTAATATTTTGTTGGACCACCTTTAGTTTTAATAGGACAGAATAGAAAAGCATTTATTTTCTCTCCCAACAGGTGACCTTCATCAACAAGCATTCTCACATAATTCCACATATCCTTTAATACACATACATAAAACAGCATGACCAAACCCATATGAAAGAGAGAATATTAACACTACTTCGGTAAACTTTTAAAAGAAAGGGGAGCAGCTCTCCTATTAACGAGTTTAAAGCAGATATTGCATAATTTCTTATAGTTGTTTTTCCTGGATAGAAGAACCGTACACGTTGTGTCCGATGGGAGCAGCTAGGATGAACGATGCATGAGGTAAGATTGATCCTCTGTGATCATCAGGGTTTCCTTCCTGATCACAGAGCTCTTAAGCAGTTCAGAGAGAGGTTTCGAGGAGATCTGGTGAATTTGCTGGCCTGCTGAAGTTGGACTTTTTGTCATCACTGACATCATTACTGCAATAAATACAACAGAATATCAGAATTCAGTACCAGCATTGGATCTGATGTGGCCCATGTCTAATTACGCCTGTTGGATGGATACCCACACAGCTCATAAAACCTAACATGCTAAAGGTCAGAGACAGAATGAAAGAAAGAGTGAGAAAAATGTGGATTTATCATGATGTAGCTCTATGTAAAAGTGCATTTTTTTTTTAGCAAAACGCCTTTCGTTTGATATAATTAGCCGAATGTAAAAGCCAAACTTGATTAAGCATTAGTAATTGATCTAATCTATATTAATTTCTTAAATATTGTTTTCATCTTGTAACTTAAAAAAAAAACACTTTTATGTTGCATGTAAAATAGGTTAAATTGAACTTGCCTTACCGTCTTCTTGTGAATTTATGTAATTCTTTTGTGCACAAGCATTTTCTTATAAGTCTTATCAACATGATTACCATTTACAGACATATTCACAGAAACACGACCAGCAAAGTACAGAGAGGTATTTGGCTGCAGCCTCCGGATGCATTAGGTCCATTATAGGTGTCTAAAGACTTGGCAGAGTCCAGATCTACTAAATCAGCTGGTTACTGCTGCATGCTAATACACGAACTTGTGCACAAGGAGCTGTGAGTCTTTTAAAGGCATCACACCTTCTGCAACAAAACCTAAAAATAACCACGTTTAAAAAAAAAAAAAGTTTAAAACTTTAAAAGTACTGTCAGTTCTTTTAGTTCTCAAACTTGCAACCAAATGACAAAAGATTAAGCTGGTAAACAAAGCACCCAGTGTAAAAAGCTGATTGTTCGAGCACTTGGCAAAAAGCACTAAAGATGCTCTCCGAAACATAACAATAATCTGCTTTAGAAGTTGTGCTGATTTATAATTTAATGAGGCACTTCTCTTGCTATTTGTTAAGAGAAAGTAAAAACCCAAGACAGCCACACATACATGCATGAATTAAAAAAAAAAACAACAACAAAACACACACACACACACACACACACACACACACACACACACACACACACACACACACAAAAACCCATTTGGTTTATTTTGGTAGGGGAGATGAAACCTCATGCTCATTAGTCACAGTTTCCAGCATAAAAACAAGCCCCAATATATGGCTGTTTGAGTGGAGGGTGTTTTCTTTTTTTTTTTTTTTTTTTGCAACAACAAAGCAAAAGCCCTGCCCACACACACAGAGAGACGCTTCGGTCCACAACCATAACCGAGAGCATATTTACAGAGAACATTTATTCCCCCTTCCAATGTCTTTAATGGCCTTTCCACCCAAATTAGGATATACCAATCCCATCACTGGTAAAAAGGTCCTATCACTACACAACATTTTATCTTCTCCCCTTTTCAGAAGATGTTTCCATTAGGGAGAATGAAAAGCTAATCATATTCATCTGCAAGCTTTCTTTAATGGGATCCTATCAGAGGATCTGATGGAGGCCCTTCTCTGCTAATACTACAGTCAATTTGCCGCTCCCATTTAGTCAAGCTGGTCTGTCTCTGATGATACCATCTCTGAGTCATTGTAAGCCGCACAGAAATAAAGCTGGGCTTGAGTACAGTGGAAGGAAGAAAAAGCCGTCGCTATGTAGCGTAGGGCTGCACATATATGTGTGCCCGCGTCTGATAAGTTAAATGTAATTTCCTCGGCTCTGAATGCAGATGCAGCCATGATGTTAGAAAGTTAATGTTCGGCAGAGATGAAAAAGATGGATAAACAGAGGGAGGGCAAGGAGATTTTCTCAGCAGATGTAGAGCAGCCAGAAGTTTTTTCTTTTTTTTTTTTTAATCATTTCTCCATCTGTCTGCTTTCAAACACGCACAACTATCTTTTTTTTACCCTCCGTACAGTTAGAGAGTGCTTCAGCAAATCCTGCACACTAAGGTCAGGCGGGGAAGTCAGTGCTCGGTCAGCGTTGTCACATCCCATCACTTGAAGTGCCATGTCTCGGCAAGGTGTATTTATAATGTCTCATATAGATAGATGGTGAGATAACTGCCGGGAACAAAGTGCTGCTGTGAAGTTGTGTGTGTGTGTGTGTGTGTGTGTGTGATGAATGGTCTAAACATAAACACATACGGTGTGATTATGGCTGCTCAGGATAACAGACAAACACTGCCCTATCGCAGAACGTAGCATGATTTGTTGTGTACTGCTTTGATGAACTCATTAAACCAAACAGCGGTGAAATGCAGCTTCACAAACGGAGCCGGCTTCTTGTGCAGAAGCTTTTCTGCACATGCACTGCAGAAACATATTGTCACATTGATTTAGTTTCTTTTTACTGGATTCTTTTAAGAAGAGACTTTAAATGAGAGAGCAGGAACGAGAGATGGTTGATTGGCATTGTAAGTGTTAACGGGTGGATAACTTTTTTACAAAATGTCTCCCACCTGATTCCTTTCTAATTCTCCTTAGGTGTCTCCAGATAGGAGTTTCTACCGCAGCCCGCTTACAGTGGCTTAGCCACCACATGACTGAAATGAAGACACAACTTTAAGTGTTGCATGCTTAATTAATATGGACAAAGTTTCTTAGTCGGTAGTTGCTTGCTGCAATATTTAAAAGATAAAATCAGACAAAACTCATGGAGCAAGGGGCTAATTAAAACGTGAAGCAGGAAGTCCTTTCAGTGGCTTGCTGTGCTTTTACAACTGCTTTATAGAATAATATTAGAATGGCAGCATTTGACATGGATCAAAACACCCACAGTCTTTGTTTCCACTGCCTGCCCACACACAAGCAACATCTTGATGTATGTCAACACATTCTCAAGTTGCACTCAGCTGTAAATTTACTCAGCAACTGGAGCTTTGCTCATCTGAAAGAGTTATCTAACTAGAATACAGACAAATGCCAAGTCCTTTCTTTATGAATGACAACACCGCTGCACCCAGAAGCTGAGATTTTTATTTCCTTGTATTCATGCATGTTTTTACCTTGTGAGGGTAAGTTCAGGTATAGAGCACTCACCATGAATCATAGGTTCATAAAAAAACCCAAGTGTAATAAAGATCCACAGGAGAAAAGATAGTCCTGCATTTGATTTTTTTTTATTTTTTTTTTGCATCAAATACAAGGCAGTTTCGGCAACACAAACAGTAACTATTGTTTTAAACAAAATGTTTAGCTGATTGGGTTTGGGTTATTTTTTAAACTTAATTTAATATAAAATTCACACACACACACACACACACACACCCCCCCACACCCCCCCCCACACACACACACACACACACACACACACAAAAATATAGACTTGTTGAAAAAGTGTGATCCATGTCAAGAATTTGCAGGTCAAACATTATGTTATATGAGACCAATAACAGCATGTATTTTTATTACAGAAATT